TTATCGATGAAAATCGGACGGATAAGCAAAATTATATTTACCAACATATAATATATTCTGGTAAATGTTATAATTGAACTTCATAGAACTTGCTGGTGCGATCTACACCTCCGTACTAAACCATTACATTCTGTCATACATTATTTTTTCTTTACCGAGATAAAAATGTCAAGGTTGTTCACGGTAAATATGTGGGGAATACTTTATACTTCAAAAGTTTTCATCTTTCTTCTACAGATTTTTTGTTGAAAAAATCTTTTGGGGGGAAAAAAAGTCCCGTGATATCTTTTGGTTCTTTTAAAATATGTTTTGGGGTGTGTTAAAATGCTGCAGTCTGATTGGTCAGAAAATAATTATGTTTACTTGATGTCCATTTCTAGCAACTTTCGGTTATCGTTCTTGACTTCCATATTCAGAAATCGTCCAGACCTGGTTATTATGGTCTATAATAATGCACTTTGAAAAGAAATTTTATTTTTTCAAAGTTCGCTGTTTTGGTCCCAGATTTATCGCGCTTTGAAAAAAAGCGCAAAAGGCGTAATTTTTCAAAGCGCGTTGTAAAAATGGACCCTCCCCAAAATATTTTTTCTAAGTCAAAGAGGCTTACCTGTGTCCAAAATGGTCCGATCGTACATAAAACAAGCGTGATCTAGATAAGCTAATCACGAATCTGTAAACTAAATTTCATTTCTATGTATTGCAACTTTTGGGAAGAAAATTAACGAAAACTGATGGGTGACCGACAGACATACCAACCGACAGACAGACAGCAGCAAAGCATTATGCCCTCCCTTCTTCGAAGGAGGGGGGGCATATATACAGTACCCGCAACGTTATTCTTTACAGGATACATGATACTATAGGATACATGCACGATACGATAGGATACACGCACGATACGATAGGATAAAAGCAAAACACGATAAACACCAGACACAATAGACCTGATAAACTCTTTTCACGATAGGATAAACGCAAAACCTGATAGGATTTTTCAAAATGCAGAACGTTTCGTGACAAGAAGAAAAGATTATTTTGTTTAGATTATGCAATATTTTAATTTTAATACTTGCAAAGCTTCAACTCTAAATTATAAAGTACATTTAATTATTATAATAAACAAAATTGAGATCACTGGTAATTTTACAAAATTGTTTATTTATATATGTTTTTTTGACATTGAAATCCCTTACGTAATAAAGTGCCGTTTCTCACGGGTACTATTATAAATTTATGAAACTCTATAAATATATTTATTATTTATGGAAAAAAAATATACATTTGAACCTAATAAATTTATCTGCAAGTACTAAATTATTTCACGGAAGACATTTACGCAATATATTAAATATTTGTATTTAATGCCTAAAGCTTACAATCTGCGGTGTATCCAAAAATCGCGATTAAATATTAAAATGTTGGGAGAAAATGCATGTAGAAGACCGGCAGAAAGAAAGGTCCAAATAAATCGGCTTTAATGAACTTTATAGTTCAAGAAAATTAATTTCCTGAGTAGAAATCTTAATAATTGTTGATATAATGGTGCTCTGCATTAATACATTAAACTGTGTCAAGAGAATATAAATCTGCTACAACTGAACATATACATGTATGTTTACGCTAAGCTCTCACTTACATGTATGTATATGTAAACATGCATATGTAAACAGATACTTAAAACTTCGAACACTGAATTATAAAATACTTTTTTTCTTTAGAATACAAAACACAAAAAATTATAAACAAATATTAAAAGGGTGAAAAGCGACTTTTCCCACTAGATAATAAATCATTGCTATTAAACTTTGTGTGTACTGTTCTAATGCAAATGAATTATTACACCTTGAAAATTATTTCAGACTAACCTGGTAATGTCATATACGGCATATCGAAGGTCGGGATGTTGAAAGTCTGTAACCAATTTAAAATTAGATAAACATGATCTTACCAAATTGCCAAAAATAAGGACTTTTTAAATAAAGTTATATACGTATGAAATGAAATCGATTAATACTATAAACTAATTGGGTGTAATACATTTACTCGCATGGTCACGGCGGAATCAGGCTTCTTTTTTATTATTATTGTAAAATACCGAAGAAAAATTATTGGGAGCAAATTTTCATAGTTAAGAATGTTAGAATTATTTCAATCTTTACTACGATCAAAGAATCTTTTTCCTAGAATTAATTCTGTCTGTAACCCGATAAAAAACCCGGTGATCCGAAAGAAAACCCGAAAATCCGAAAGTTCGTGTACCATAAGTGCAGTATTTTTTTTTTTAAAGTTCATTAAAAGACCTATTTACATAAACATTGACACTCGGGTGCATTATATTTTCAGTTTATTTCCACGCCGAAAAGGTAAGCTGTTAAAAGTCATAACGTTTTTCCTGTTTATTATCTTTAGATTATTTAATGCCAGATATAATTAATGAAAAACTTCTTTTTTATAGTAACTGCCATGATGTGATAAATCGGGAAAAGAAACTCGGAATACCTAGGTAGTTTCTTCCTGTAGTAAAAATAAAAAGCGAGGGTTTCCAAATATACACGATAAACGCAAAACACGATAAACGATAGAATCTGATAAACGATCTACACGATAAACGCAAAACACGATAAACGGAAAACACGATAGAAAAAGCAAAACAGGATACGATAGGATACACGCACGATACGATACGATACACGCACGATGTACGATAGGATAAACGCACGATACGATAGGAAACAGACACGATATACGATAGGATACTCGCACGATAGATTTGTAAAGAATAACGATACGGGTACTGTACATGAAACAACTTGTGTGTAATCTAATATTGAAACAGCAATATATCAGACCGTTTCCAGACATATATTGATCAAAGAAGTTTGATCAAAACTTTGTATTATAATCAGCGTGCTTGCAAAAGCGTTGTATCATACCCGATACAAGAGGCCCATGGGCCTTATAGGTCACCTCAGCATCATCAATGATCATGCATCAACTTTCTAGTAATTGAATTTGGTTCAGATATTGAGCCAGAGGCTATGCCATTCACAATTTTGAAAGAGGCACCATTGATAATCATAACTATATAGTTAAGAATTGCTTAGTTTGGTTACTTAATGCCCATAGGCAAGGTAGGGAAAAAATGCATTTCCACTAATAAGTAATATTCAGCAATAATCAGTAGTGCCCTTACCACACATGAACCCCTGACCTTATGTACAAACATTGCACAATTTTTAAAAAGGCATCAAATATATTTCAATAATACAAACGAGCAGATTTAAAACAAGAGGCCCATGGGCCACATCGCTTACCTGAGTAACTTGGGTGATGCAGTTCTTCACCATATTCCCCCTCATGCTATACCTATCATGCCCCACTACCCCCTCCCCTTTTATCATTTTAAAACTTAAAAATCTACACTACCCCAGGATGCTTCCACATAAGTTTCAGCTTTCCTGGCCAGTGGTTCTTGAGAAGAAGATTTTTAAAGATATGTTCCATATAAAACTTGAATTCCCTATTGTGGCCCCGCCCTACCCCGGGATCATGACTTTTATCAATTTAATATCAAAACTACCTGAAGATGATTCCACAAAAGTTTCAGCTTTCTTGGCCCAGTAGTTCTTGAGAAGATTATAAAAGATTTGTTCTATATATTTCTATGTAAAACTTGGATTTCCTATTGTGGCCCCGCCCTACCCCTGGGGGTCATGATTTTAACAATTTAATATCTACACTACCCAAGGATGCTTCCACACAAGATTCAGCTTTCCAGGACCAGTGGATCTTGAGGAGAAGAACTTTTAGTGACCCCACCTTATTTTTTGTCTTTTCTTTATTATCTCCCTTTTTAAGGGGACTTGCACCTACATTTTAACTGTTTAAACTCCCCTCCCCTACATCCAATGATGCTTTGTACCAAGTTTGGTTTAAATTGGCTCATTAGTTCTTGGGAAGAAGTCAAAAATGTGAAAAGTTTACAGACGGACGGACGGACAGACAGACGGACGTCCGACGGACAAAATGTGATCAGAAAAGCTAAAAATTTATTCATTTTCAGTATATAAGAATAGACCCCTCTCAAAATGGTACCCCTGACCAGGGAGCCTTGAAATTCACAATTCTCGAAAAAGGGCTCTTGCGCATCATAACTATGTATACTAAGTAGTTCATCTGCTTAATACCCTGGAGTACAGAAGAAAATTTTCAAAGAATTCATGCATATTGTATGTTCACTTCATAATCAATAGAGCCCCACCCTAACACCAGAACCCCTGACCCTGGTGCCATAAAATTCAAAATTTTGGTAGAGGCACTCTTGCTCATCATAACTATGTAATTAGTAAATTAATTTATTAACCAGGAGCAGAGAAGATTTAAACAGAAATAGAGCATTTACACTATATACTCGTTTTAGCCCCGCCATAGCACTAGAGTCCCGGACCCTGGGGCCATGAATTTCACAATTTTGGAAGAGGATTCAATGCTGATTACAATCATGCAAACAGTTTTACTGCTTGATGTCCTTGATGTCCAGTATTAAAGAAGGAAATGTTTGAAAATTGCAATAATTTTGGTTATTTTATCCCCCACCCCTCAGGCCCCAGGGGGACAGGGATCGTGAAATTCACAATATGTGTTTACCCATAGATGCTTTGTACACAATCTGGTTGAAATTGGTTCAGTGGTTGCAAAGAAAAAGCTCTTAATGTTGAAATGTTAACGCAAGACAACGGACAAAAGCGGAAAGCAATATGTCACCTGAGTTTACTCAGTTGACCTTATAAGTCAAATAGATTATTTACTGGGGCATTATATTGGTGAAACATCAATTTTAGTTTTTAAATTTGTATTAGTCCATTTCCATTGTTTTTACCTTCAACTAGATTGTTCGTCCTAGTGTCATTGTCTCGATTAAAGACATTCCACATTTGTGGTGGGAAAGTTCCATCCAGGTAGGTGTTTTGGAAATATGTCATCAGCTCTCGAATTGCTGATTATCGGTTTTGCAGACGTCTTGCTGTGCGAGATTGAATAAGCATCCGAAAGTTCTGGCGCACAAACGCAAGCGGTAGATGTCCGATAGACATTAATTTCTGTAGAAACTTCTTTACCCTTCTTCGCCGCCTGTATACCCTTGCCAGTCCTACCTCTTGGATTTTTCGCCATAGGCTCTGCGTGAAATGAAAGTAACACCCCCAAATTCTTGTGCGAGGAAGTTCCGTTTCTAAGGCCAATTTTAATGCCTGCTCAAAATCACAAATGACCGAGCGTGGGCGCCATCTTCTTCCAGTGACGTTCCTTACTTTCGCCTGAAGATGTTGGAGAAATTGTCTGTAATGTCCAACTGTTTTCCCTGTCATCAAAGACCAAGCAAAAGTGAAGAATCTGCCTAGATACTTTCCATGGACAGTTACAAGTTGAGTGTAGGGATGGGGACTTGTTTTAAAGGTTCCATCGATGTATATTGTTGAACATCTTTGTAAAAGGCGAATGTCTTTCTTGGTGGCAAATACAGCGATGCCCCAGTCGTTGTCAAGGTGAGTTAAAAACTTATGTCCACCCCAAGTCTTCTTCCATTGCTCCTGTATGTTGACGTCGTCTACGTCCGTCGGAATCGGAGGGAGTAAAGATGATCTGACTCTTTGCAAAGCTGACCGAACCCTAGAGAACTCAGGGAGATCTTCGTCTTCATCATTTTCTACAAACCTCTCGATTACTTCATTAAACACTCTTTTGATCGGTTTGGAGGGATCATCGTTGACTGTTTTCTTCATCTGATTTATGGCCTCTGCTTGCTGTAGCAATTCATCCTCAGCTGGATGATCATGATCACCGACCTAGAGAAATTAGACATTGGCGAGCATATTTCCAAAAACAAGATTCATGGAGCAACCAAATTTCGACGGAGTGATGTCGAATTCAATATTTATAATAAAGCAATTAACTTCATGACCTAATGATCAATTTTGCTGAATTGGAAAGACCTGCTAGCAAAATGTTCCACAGGCAATTTCTCGGTTAATGAGTTACATGATCGTTGTTAAGAAAAAAAAACTGGTTCCTCATTTGATCAAACGAGGGCCTCCTTCACGAAAGATACTCCATGATTTTAAGAAAAGTCTTTTAAATCATTTATGAAGTATTTTTCAGACAAAATACAAGAGGCCCAAGGTCCTTGAATCGATTTTCTGATAAATTCTACAATCTATCACTTCTATTTGAAGCCTCTAAGTGTCCAAAGATGCATGAACTAAAGGTTTAATGATTCTTAACCAGTAAGGGCTTGGATATTTTAGTAAAGCTATAAAATATCAAACAAGAGGCCCAAGAACCTTGAATCGCTCTTCTGATAAATTGTACAATCTATCCCTTCTATTAGAATTCTCCAACTCTATTAGTATTATAAGACCCAAAATGCATCAGCTTACAAAGTTTGATAATATTTAGTCAATGAAGAATGAAGATATTATAATATACAGTAATTATAAAATACCATAAGTAGGTCACAGCGACTTTCCAATTGATTGAAATTTTCTGAGGACTCAAGATACATCAATTGACAAAGACTGATGATTCTAATTAAAAAAGTACCTGAGATATTCAAAAGTAGATCACCATGACCTACTTTTGGTCAACATTCTCTGAAAACCCAAGATGCATTATCTGACAAAGTTTGACGATTCTAAGCCAATTAGTATCAGAGATAATTAAATCTAGCCATCAAATGTAAAAAGAAGGTCATGGCGACCTACTTTTTGGTCGACGTTATCCAAAAACACAAGATGCCTAAACCGACAAAATTTGATAATTCTAAGCCAATAAGTACCTAAGATATTCAAAAGTAGGTCACGTGACATACGTCTTGTTGGACATTCAATGAAACCGTAAGATGCCTCAACTGACAAAGTTGGGTGATTCCAAACCAATAAGTACCAAATATAATTAAATATAGCCATAAAATGTCTAAAGTAGGTCACAGTGACCTACTTTTGGGACAACATTCTTCGAAAACCCAAAATGTCTCAACTAACAAAGTTTGAAGAATCTAAGAAGATAGTACCTAGGGTACTTTCTAAATGTCAAAAGTAGGTCACCGTGATCTACTTTTTGGTTGAGTTAAAAATATCAGGAACACCCCTTCATATGGTGAATAATAAGTGTACAAATTTTCAGATTAATCATTGCATTAGTTTCTGAGAAAAGGTCCGGACAAAACCACAAAATAAAAAAAAACACCGGTAAAATTCAAAATAATATTCGAATCAAGTTGAAACTAGTGGGTATTGTTTTTTAACAAAAAACACATGTCTCCCCTTCTGTACGAACATTTACAAATGCAGGTTTACTATCAAGGTCAAAAATAATAAATCAGTGCTTCTTTCAAGTTTTGAAAATGATCTGAAATTATGGTCTGGTCTTCTTTTTTCCTTAATTTAACCTTTAATGAAGAAAGAAGTCAAGGTCAAATAATTTGATGTAGTGTAATTAGGCTTAAAATTTTCTTTACTTGTTCCAAGTTTAAAATCCTAAAGTCAAGAAAGGTATGACTTAGGATTTTTTTTAATGTGAACGTTTGACCTTGACCCAATAATAATTAGATCAAGGTAGAACATTTTGATTACATAGACTCTCCATCTATGTGTCCTCTGCATGTTCCAATTTTGAAGTCTAAATGTCAAAGGGTTCACAACTTATGGTCAAAACATGTTTTTTTTTCTCTACTTAACCTTGAAGAAAGAAAAGGGTCAAGGTCTAAGTCCTGGTGCACTTGATCTTGTATTTAATGTCTTCTTTCTATGTTACAAGTTTGAAGTCCTAATATCAAAGGGTACCAAAGCTATGACATAAACTCTATTTTGATGTGAAAGTTTGACCTTGAGCCAATAATATTGGATCAAAGTCAAATATTTTGATCACAAGCACCTTTCTCCAATGTGTCCTCCGCATATTACCATTTTGAAGTCTAAATATTAAAGGTATTTCAAGTTCTGATCAAATAATATTTTATTCCATTTGACCTTGAAGAAAGAAAGGGGTCAAGGTCTAAGTTCTTTTGCACTGCATCTTGTACTTGATGTCTTATTTCTATGTTTTAAGTTTGAAGTCCTTATATCATAAGGTATCCAAGCTATGGTCTATACTCAATTTTGATGTGAAAGTTTGACCTTGACATTATAAACATTGAATGAAGGTCAAAAATTTTGATCACATTACCCTTCTCTTAAGTGTCCCCTGCATATTCCAAGTTTGAAGTCTAAATGTCAAAGGTATCTAAAGTTATGTTCAAATCATGTTTTTTTCTCTATTTGACCTTGAAGAAAGAAAGGGGTCAAGGTCAAAGTTCTGGTAAATTACATTTTGTACTTAATGTTTTCTTTCGTTACAAGTTTGAAGTCCTAATGTCAAAGGGTATTCAAGCTTTTTCCAAAATTCTATTTTAATGTAAAAGTTTTACCTTGACCTTATAAATAGTTCAAGGTCAAAAGTTTTGATAGTGTGCTCTCCGCCTTAAGGTCATCTATTAATGTTCTAAGTATGAAGTCTTTAGGTCAAAGGGTATTCGAGTTACGGCCTGGACTAAATTTGGATGAAGAAGGAAGGATATGGAGATAACGAACAGTATTCAATCTCAAAGTCCATTAAACAATATACAAAATAAGAGCAGAGCAAACACGGACCTCCGAAACATCAGAGGTGGGATCAGGTGCCATGGAGGAGTGAGCATCCCCTGCTGACCGGTCACACCCGCAGTTTGCTTGTGTCGTGATAAGGAAATAACGGAAAAAATCCGTCGTCAATTCAGTGTATAAATAATGGACTAAACATTATTATGAAAAATGTCAGTCACTATTTGACTCAATGATAAATTGTATTTGTGTTCAAGGTCATTGTATCGACAGTCGAACTTACGAAATGATGACATTTAACGAGACTGTTGATATTCTTGTTTCATCAACTTGCTTGTCAATAATTTACCTCGTTTAACAAATTGCTCAAGCGTAGAGCAGGCTCTTGCGTATCGAATCAACTGAGATATATATACTCCGTATGCAGGTGATGAAGGTATATTGCTGCATAAGTAAGGGAAGTTGAATATGTTATCTTGGCGCTAGAAGTGTAATGTAAACCTTAGAAAAATATACCAAGCCAGATGAATTCAAAATGACAAAAAATTAGCAATATCACATAGGCTGATTTTTACCATTTAACTTTTCCTCATAAAATTCACCTGGCTTGGTATATTTTTCTTAAGTTTATGTTACACTTTTAGCACCATGTTAACATATTCTGAAAATTGTTTTTACCTGTAAACCTTTACTGAATGTGATTTGTCTATATTTGTTTTTTTCATAGAAATATTACTAATATTTTACAAGTCTTTTTCATTATTCCAGTTACTAGGAGAAAAAAATTCTAAGAACCATCCACATTTCTAAACTTGTGACATATTAAATCTTTTTCAGAGAAAAAAAATTGTTTGTATCATCTGTCCTTAAAATGAGAAGATCGAACATTTTCGACAGGGCTAGCTTTATCTACCAGGTGTTATATTTACAACGGATTTGTAATTTTGACGTACTGTATTGTTGGGGAAACAAGTATGGCGGCCACCCCCCCCCCCCCTTACGTGCCTGCCTTAGCAATATACACTTATACGTGTAGAAATCAATCATAAGCAAACTTGATGACGTGATGCACAAAATTCCAGTGGACATCACTATCTACACGAACGCTTACACGCTGGTTTGCTTAACCTCCCTATTAACGGATTACAGTCATAAACAATTATAAATTATCAAGTTTGCACATATAGATAAAATTCATATTTACCGATTTTATTTCGATATGTGGTACACGCTCAGCATCCAGGTTGAAAGCATTGGTAGAGAATGTTGCTCGACGTGTCTTCCTCCAGCATCTCCAATGATAAGTTGTCAGCTTTTTCTTGTTCAACTGGTACCGATACCCTTCATTTACAAGAACTTTTCCCTTTTTTTTCATACCATCCATTAGGTAAGCCATGATGGCAAAAGAGTGCTGTAACCTTACCGGAAATGACGTATCAGAGTATCGGCTTACGTCATATATTTAGAAGTTTAACACCTCTACTTTGACAAATCTTGGTAGAATAAGTAATTGTCTTTGAATAAAATTATATTCAAATACCCAAGTAAACTGTAACACTAAGTAAAAGGGTTAAATCAGAAATTTCACTTTTCATTCCCCTGATTTAAAGATCGAGCCCGAAAGTTTGAAGTTTTTTTTTTCTTCCATCTTTTTGTTTGTCAACTATAAATTAATATCTTCAATAACAATAAAGACGTTTGTGATAGAGACCTATACTGTGCAAAGTCTTATAATAAAACTCATTAATTCAATTCTAATGACGCTAAGTTCAAATCCACCCGGGGGGGGGGGTCAACAGAACAAAAACTGTTAGAAATTATACACTCGAAGGAACGGATTATTTAATTTGCTTACTAATTTTCATAATAATTATAATTGAATGTTTTATATAAAAGTATTCAAATTGCACATTCTATAGATATTTCTAATTCCTTTAAAACCACTCATAAAGATGAGACTTTTTTGTAAATCAAACAATTAAAATTAGAATCAATTTATCTAAAGAAAATTTAATTTCTAATAGGTGATTTTTCTAAATTAGAAGATAAATAACATGCATCATATATATCTACAACTTATATCGATCATCTCAGACAAGTCATGTATAACTTTAAGAATCACTAATACTAATTTTTATCTGCCATAAAACCACGGAAGTACGTAGCATCGTTTTGAAAAGTGCCGGATAAAAAACAAAACACCATTTTGATTATCTCAGAAAGAATGAATCTTCATAACTCTGCTTTTTCGCCCCTTTTTAAATACAGAATTTTACCTTTTCAATTCAAAACACTGTCATATTATTAAAGCTTTCAAGCATAAACTGTATGGATACTCATCAAAGATTTTTTGGTAAAGAGACTTTAAAAATATACATGCTATTGATTAAACAAAATCGTATAATTCACAGCAAGAACCCGACTTAGCTATTACAGCTAAATAGGTCATTGTATTATTTGAATGAGGAGCGTCTATCAAGCGTGCGATTTGTGTGAATACATTAGTACTAAGTTTTATGAATAAGTGACACATAACATAGGATAAACTATTTTTTATATGTTTAAGAAACCTTATTTTTTATAAAGAAATGAATCTATTTAAGGGTATTTACTTTTATATATGTAATACTGAGAACTTATTTTATAGCATATTTATTATTTTAAAATTCGAGAGCTACAACAGAAACATGTAGGCGGTTTAATTATGACTAAAAATCGTTTTGAAAGTTAAGAAAGTGAAAATTATAAATTCAGTATCATTGCTGGTGGATAATGAAACTTCAGTGTATTTAGTACAGTCGAGATAACATTAATATTGCTTTGAACTAAATTCTGATTATTCTTGCAAGACAATATGATATTCATACATGTATATGAATTCAAAAATTAAATAACTTGTAATTCACTCGTGTACTTTTTGATTCTCCGTATTAAGATAAATGATAATTCACTTCAAAATACTTAACGACTTTTCCCTTTTTTCAATAAATACATTGATGGTACATGTGAAAGGGCCACACAAATGCATTTTAGTGCTTTAAAACATTAGGCTTTAAAATACCTGAAAACGTGGAATTTTTTTTACATGATTTGATAAAAAAAATAATTTTTTGTACCAATGTTAAAAGTTTTGCATATGTGGGTCTTTTTAGAGCTCCGTGTTTCAATTTTTTCCCTTCATGTTTCTCAACTGGAAGTATGCATTTGTGAACGTATAGCAAACATTCCATTTTCTAAAGATATAATGAATTGTTTTTGTTTTTTTTAAATGACGATCTTTGAAATTAATGAAAGTTTTAACTGAATTTAAAAACATATTCTATCTTTTAAGAGTCAATAAACGTAGTGCCCATGTATATTTAGGAACAAAGGCATACAGTGATAGATACCAAAATAAATCAAACCAAAATCTACTGATATAGTATTTAATAACAATTCAAAAATCTTAACATATCTTAATTAAGAATTTCACCCATAAATTTGAATAAGCCATCTGAAAATTATTTGACCATTGATAGCCAATTGACACCTGCACATGATGTCGCATAGGTGTGATGAAAGCGCGAAAGTGATTAGATTTGAGTCTAGTGTTCAGTGCTTTGCTTTTCATATGGTCAAAGGCAGGCTGAATTTTGTAAACAAGGTGCCTTTACAATAGACACAAGTATCCGTCATTTTGCACCTTTTTGGGAAATAAGGTATGAGCGCAAAACTGTTTCAATGTCTTTCACGGAGGTAGTTTATCTCTTTATAGTGTACGTATTTACGGCAACTTGAAACATCCATGCGCTCACATAAAAAATGGCTAATCGAGGGGACAGATTTGGACGTTTAAACGATTCATTTAAAAAATAACAAATAAAATCGCTATATAAACTTCAATTATGGGGGCATAAAGAAAACAAATCAAAGCCTATTTTATGGGGGTGAGAAGGGGTCGATAATACTTTCATACTTAAGTAGATCTACACTTAACTTAAAAATTACGTAATTGCTAGCACTCTCAGGCTCTAGCAAAGTTCCACGTTAGTCCATGTGTCTGGAGTACCCATGCTCGAATTAAACGTCGTGCATTATGGGATAACTTCATGGTCTAGCTCTGTAAAAAACGACCATAGATAGACTGTGCGATAGCAATTTCGTTAGGTCATTAATTTTAGTCCCATTTAGTTGCGAAAACTAATGGTCGGGAACAATTTAATTTGCTTTGTTTTATGTAAAATGTTTACTTTTTTGTGGAAATGAATAGCAGCCAATTGATTTTAAACTGACGAATCGCGAATAAAAGATGACGTGAATAATAGCTAGTTTACAGTATACATGCAAATGTACCACCTTCCTGGATATAATGCTGTAAATCTCATTAAAACAAAATCTATTTCTTTTCAAAATTTGTCGGAAAGACACAATAAGCAAATTGATACAATGCAATTCCACACTGATATAACTTTAATTCTCTATAAAAAAAAAAAAATACACATCACAAAAAATTATAACTCTATTAACTATCACACTCCAGAATCATTAAACATTAATGAATTCAGCAAAATATTTTTTTGATCACGAACCTTTTTTTCTGTGTTTAGAAAATGCTACAGCGCTGGATCACCAATCTTTTTAGAAAGATAAACGTGTTTTTAAATTATGGTATGATATTCAATACGCCTTTGCGTACAGGTGGGCCGAACCCAATTCCTTTATTTTTTTGTGCGAAGTCGAAATTGACAGTAATTACTTTAAAAAAAAAGCACAGATCTAAAGGAGGTCATTGTTCCTATTTTATGCAGTAGAAATTAATTGATTGTGACTTTAAATTGTCGGACTACCGGCTGTGGGACTATCGGACCGTCGGACTACCGGGCTGTCGGACTATCGGACCGTCGGACTATTGGGCTGTCGGACTATCGGACCGTCGGACTACTGGGCTGTCGGACTATCGGACCGTCGGACTACTGGGTTGTCGGACTATCGGACCGTCGGAATACTGGGCTGTCGGACTATCGGACCGTCGGAATACTGGGCGGTCACCTAGGAGAAGTAGCATTTTGAATGATTTTCACAAAAATTTCTATTTTTAGTAACCAAGGCAACACCGTTCATCAAAATCAAAAACCCGATACACAGAATTATGTATCTTAGTGTAGTGTACTTGTGTGCCATGTTATATTGAATTCAGACTTAAACTGTTGAAGTAGCATTTTGAATGATTTTCACAAAAATTTCTATTTTTAGTAACCACGGCAACACTGTTTGTCGAAATCAAAAATTGATACACAGAAGTATGTATCTTAGTGTAGTCTACTTGTGTGTCAAGTTATATTGAAATCAAACCAAAACTGTAGGAGGAGTAGCGTTTTGAAAAATTGTTTATAGACGGACAGACAGACAGACGGACGGACGACGGACGCATTACTATCGCATAAGCTCTTCTGGTCTCTGACCAGTAGAGCTAAAAACTACGTTTATCTTTTAAAAAGATAGGGGAGCTTTTATGTAGCACCGTAGCAATTTTAAAACACAAAAAGAAAGGGTAGTGATCAACTGGATTATTTTTCTGAATTCTTTTATGTTGAAGTCTGGTAGTTAGAGTTATAATTTTTGGTAAAGTGTAACTAATAAAATAAAAATTATATTAGTGTGGAACTGCATTATAGAAATTGCTCATCGTGTTTTGTCAAGAAGTTTTGAAAAGAAAAAAAGAAGGTTGTATATCTCGCAAGCAAGATGTCTAGAATATCGGCATTATTGGACTTAAATTTTCGTTGTGTACACAATAAATAAACAAACTTCAGATTAAAAACAGAAAAGGCCAGTGTTATTTAATAATTTTGTGTAGAACAATCAGATTGTACACGTAATAGGAGTATGTCTCAGAGCACCATTGTCATTAGTGGTTCTAGAATATTTTAACACTCTCCTATATTTTCATATTTAATTTAATTTTAATATTTAATTATTTCCCAGGTTCTTTTTTTGATTTGAGATTCTGCTTGGTCTTATTTCAAAGCCTGTTTGTACCTTATTTCAACCTCATGTCATTTGTAAAGAAAACACCAGTTTCAATAAACAACAAAATTTATTTAACCTTTGTATAGACAAAACAAAAAAATGGTATAAAAAATAACAACTGTATATTTCTGCCTTGTGAAAAAATCAAAGTACTCAGAAGTACAGAGAGCCGGGCTCATTTACAGAGTAGAATGGATTTCTTACATGAATCACGTTTATATTCTGATGAAAAAAATATTTTAAAACTATCAATATAAATGATAAGACACTGACAGTGAGTTGTAGAATCCTAATACCACGGTCCGATTTTGTCAGAATCAGAATTAATCTGGTACCGCAGCTGAATGTAAACAAACAGGCCAGTCTGGTTCCCTCTCCTGCTTTACC